TGGACACAGAGAGATGGAAATACAGACAGACAGGATCAGAGACACGTGGACACAGTGTCTCTTTCTGCTTGAAATCTTCGGTCTTGCTCTCAGAAGATGGGGTGCACTTTACCTGGGCTCTCCTTGTGCTCATCCTGCCTGCGTTACCTGTAGTCGCCGGTTGCTGGGATCCTCCAGATCTGGACACCCCTCAGCGGCCCCTCTGTCACCACGGTGACGTTGACCTTGCTGTGGCGGTAGGCGTTGCTGCACTGTGTGGGTGTGGGCCCTCGTGACCCTGTGGCCCCGCAGGTGCTGAATATCAGGTTCTCCATTGAAACTGCACATAAGAGAGAGGGAGAGCTCAGACTGGCGCAGTGTTTATTGCGAGGAGATGGCAGATTAAGGCAAGATGGCAGGTTTGGCCAGAACTACATTTCCCAGAAGGCTGTGTGTGTGGGGGGGGGATATGCTGGCACAGTGTGTGTGTCTGATGAGCAGATGGCAGGTTCAGACAAGATGGCAGCTCTGGCCAAGTGCCCGCAGTCCTACACACTCCCAAAAAACATACGTTGCACATGCGCCATCTTTGTCAAGCAATGTGCATGAAGCTTACTGTGTGTGGTGTGTAAAAGAAAACTATATATACAATATTTAAAGTGCGATCAACACCTGTCTTCATACCAGTGCTCAGGGAGTAGTAGTGTCTAAGAGCAACAAGCTGTTAGAGGCAGAAGTCTCGACCCTCACTGGCTGTCCTAACGCAGCTCCTTTCTCTGCCCTGACACTTTCTGAACCAGCATCCAAAACATTCATTTATTATTTCCTAATGGGAGAGGAGTGTGGAGATTCAAACCTCTATTTCCTGTCAGGAGAGGAAGTGCAATCCTCATCTCCTCACATTCCCATTTCCTGTCAGGAGAGGAAATGCACTCCTCATCTCCTCACGCTCCCATTTTCTGTCATGAGAGGAAGTGGACTCCTCATCTCCTCTGTTCCTCTTTCCTGTCAGGAGAGGTAGTGCACTCCTCAGCTCCTCCTGTTCCCATTTCCTGTCAGGAGAGGAAGTGCACGCCTCTTCTTCTCAC